GTGAGTGAGGGGACTTGGTGCTCCTGTGGTGCTGCCTGGGGGAAAGACAGCAAGCCCGCCCATTGAATTCTTTATTTCTCCTTAACAAGAGATTAAAGTACTTCTTGGTGGGGCTACTGTGGACATAATCTGAGGGGAGCTCTGAAATTTGCCAGGGCAATGGCAGGGCAGGAAGTTGTGTACAAGAAGTATCCAGCTCCACTTGAGACATGCAGAGTCTCAATATCCAATGGGAGCTGCTTTTCTGCTCTTTTTAAGACCAAAAAATCTGGGACCCTTTCCTGATACAAGGATCTTCTTTCCGAAACAGCACAGTTTGGAGGACTTCATAGCAGACCATATAAAGATTAATATATAATACTGAAAACAGTTTTCTTTGGGCTTTGGGTTCTGTGGGTAAACTGGGACAGACTCTTTGAAGACACTGCGCATTGCATTTTTGTGAAGTTGTGAACAACATCTGCCCAGGATTAGACCTTTTATATTGGAAAGAACATCCAGAATTGCGCCATCATTTTAAATGGCTATCATAAACTAGCAATTGTTGATAAGACTGTATTCTGAACTATTCTTTTTATCTTTCATTTAGGTTACTCAGTTCTGTGATGAAAGCAACCACAATATGTATGCAGCAAACCTGCAGAACAAACTATGCAAGCAGAGGAGCACGTGGGAAGTAATTAAGAACTCTGCAGACTACAAAGGTTCCTCTCAACTAAGTGGACCTCCCCCTGACCCGGTTATCTCCTTGCTGCAAACCCGAGACAGAGTTGTGTGCCTAGTACTTGATGTTTCTGGAAGTATGGCTGGGGTAAGTCTGTTTTTCCACTTCTAGAAGAAATACTGCCACACAATTAGTTTCAAATAACTGAATCAATGTCAATAATCAATACAAATGGGAACACTCAGCCAGCCTCTATGTAAGAAGTCGTATATTATCTTAGAGACAGTCAGCTCATTTTGCCGTACTTGACAATTTTCCCTAACTTTGGGTGCTTCCAGCCTGGAGGCTCCTAGTGTTTCTCTTTCTGCCCAAAGCAATGCACAGAATTGCTACTGAGTTTCCACAGTGCAGAGAATATTGCGCGTTCCTGCAAGAGGGAATGGCACAGCCATGTGGAAAGAGCATCATATTTAACTATTTCTTTCTGTACACTGTCTATATTAGATTGCAGTGGGGGAAGAAAGGCCGAACTCCTCAAAAGCACCAGCGCGGGCAAAGTTCCACCCCCAGCAAAGCCTCTGTTGCACTAAGGGAGCTCTTTGAGTGCTCGGTCCGTAATTCACAGCAGCAATTTATGGAGGACGGTGAATCCCTCCATGTCTCCGTTGATTTATGTGGGCAAAAACAGAGGCTGCAAATGACTGTTATTTGGCAAAAGCCCATCTCCCCACTAAAGCCCTCTTTCCCCAGTGGTTCCTTTGGGGGTTGGGATGAAGGGGCTTCCCCTCCTGGAGCTGACCTTATTTACAAGAATTCCCTCCTCAAAAGAAGTATCATAATCTGCCAGTCAGCACTGGCTGAACATTGGTATGCACTGGGCAGGTTCACACAACACAAAATGCCACACTGCAGTGTGCCCCAGTGCTTGTGATGTGTGCAACAGTCGATTGGGCACCAGAGACACCTTCATCCCTGCCCTTCCTACAGGCATCCCAGGTGACCCAGGGAGCGCTGAAGCTTCCTCCGCTCCTCTGTGCTGCCTGGGAGCAGCCCTGGGCAGGGCCAGAATGCCCTGGATCAAAGGGCACCACCTGCCACTATGCCCGGCTAAAGGGCTGGCTGCGGCAGTGGGTGGGGAGCAGAGCTTCCCTCCTGCCAGGGCATCCCCAAAACACAAGCCAGGGATGATCCCAGCAGGGGATCATGAGCAATCTGTCTCCCAGCTTCCCTGTGTTCCCCACTCCTCCCCAGTGCTGGGGCTTTCACAGCCATGTGGAGTGGAGGGAATGGGAAGAACAGCAGCCAGCTAAACCGAAACCAATAGGACAAGGAGACAAAACGGCAGAGCAGAGAAAGATGCAGGCAAGCCGATCAAAAGCCATTCAGTGTAAGGTCAATAATGAGGGAATGAAAGGGGTCATGCTTTTGGTGGGTTGGGGGGAGGCAGTCCAAGGTCAAGCTCCCAGCTCCGATCACAGAGACAGAGGCGGGAGATCTAGTGGTCACAGGACTGCACTATTCAGGTTGTACGTGTAATTACCAGAATTTTTGATTTTGCTCAGAAACAAAATTGAGTCTTATGCAATAATTGTAGCCTGGAATAACACACTTCCAATATGCAGCTTCAGTCAACAGCCCATCCATAGCATTCTGGATTAGCTAAAGTTTTCAAACACTTTTCAAAGCTGCTTTGCTGAAGTATGCTACTCTAGTTCAGCCAAGATGTGAATAAAACATGGCTTGTCATGGATTATTTGCAGTATGTCTATTATTAAATAGAAATACAGCAAACCTGGAAGCTCAAGTGACTGTGGTGGCGAGGAGCGCTTTCCTTCAGCTTCGGCTAATCCTTCAGCTGCCTCCCTACCTGGAGGAAGATTGCCTAGCGACAGTGACACATGCATTAGTTACTTCCCGGTTGTATTTCTGCAATGCGCTCTATGTGGGGCTGCCCTTGAAGACAGTCCAGATACTTCAGCTGGTGCAAAACAGAGCAGCCAGATTGCTGACAGGGACTGGGCGTTATTCTCATATAACCCCAGTCCTCTATCAGCTTCACTGGCTTCCCATCGAAGTCCGGGCTCAATTCAAGGTGCTGGTTATTACCTATAAAGCCCTAAACGGCTTGGGACCTAGATACCTGAAGGAACGCCTTCTTCCCTATTTGCCCTCCCACCCCCTGAGATCGGCAGCAGAGGCCCTCCTCTGGGAACCCTCCATGAGAGACATTAGGAGGCAAAGTACCCGGAGGAGGGCCTTCTCTGCGGTGGCACCCTGCCTATGGAATGTGCTCCCCAGAGAGGTCCGCCTGGCACCGTCGTTATTTGTTTTTCAGTGCCAGGTTAAGACCTTTTTATTCCAACAATATTTTAATAAGTTTTAATATTGTGTCCTATATGTTTTTAACTGCAGCTAGTGTGGGTCAATGATTTATTCATGTTACATTTTATTTTATTGTATTTCATTTATGTAAGCCGTCCTGAGGCTGTCACGACAGGACGGCATATAAATATTTAAAATAAAATTAAATTAATTAATAAATCATAATGTTCCAATCTGGTGTTTTGAGGAATGGGCATAGCTCAGTAACTCAGGATTCTAAAATTTCATTGATATTTCCTTAGTGGATAACTTTTGCAAAACAAACAGAGAAAGAAATAAAGCTGTTGAAAAATGAGTTTTCTCCAAGACAAACTCCACTGAAGTGAATGGTGTCCTTGCCCATTCATTACAAGAAGGCATGCTCAGGAAAACTTCCTCATGGAATGTACCCCAAATTGTACCCCAAGTAACATGCATGAGGTTATTCAGGATACTCAAACCTTTTATGGATTTGTCTATATTTTATTAATGCAATTGATCAATGATCCCCCCACAAGTGCAATCTATAATCAAGAAATGAACCTTTCCAGACACTTTCCTTTGTGGTCTTTCCTGTCACACTCTGACAGCTCTGTTCTTTCCCAC